GAGCTGCTACTCAGATTTTCTTCTTCGATGCTGCTGAAGTCTATTGGTCGAGTGGTTACCAAAGCTACTGCTGCGATGATGAATGGAGCTTGAAGAGGAGCGGCAAGATTTTGCTGCCTTGAAGCGTAAGACGAATACGCCATTCTTGGTTTCTGCTCTTCCGATGTATGTGTTGTAATATAGTAACTCTTGCTCTTGTGTGGTGCAGTTTCCGAGCGGAATTTCTTCTTCAAGAGCTGAGTAGTTGACACTAAATTGAAGCCGAGGTTGTCGACGATTAAAACATTGGTAAGGCGTAAGGAGTTTCCCGTGTCGATTGATGTCAAAATTAGACTGCCGATATTTTCTGCTGCAATTGTTTGACCGTTCGCGAGTGTGATTGGGCAGGGTTGAAGAAGTCGACGACGGTTGTAAATGAAAGGGTTTGTTGAAGAGACCATATGGTGGCCACAACAACTATCCAAGTACCAAGTATCGGTATCTGTACTGCAACCAACCATGTGAGTGTTTGCAGTCGGTAAGCAATTTTTTTACGTTACCGTTTTGTTGGCAGAGTTTGAATTATTTGCTGCCGGCTTCGATAATTTGATTGGAGGAACACAGTTGAGTGAAGTTGGTGTTGTTGATGTTGCAGATGTTGCTTTTGGAGGCGCATGCTGCTGCAAAGACTGCTTCGAAGGCTGTCGTAGTTGCTGTGATGATTGCGACCTCTGCGATTCTTCAACAGGTAAATACCTCTTGTTAAAGTAGCATCGGTCGGTAGAATGTCCTCCCTTGTTGCAAATCTGACAGAAGAATCGAGGACGTCGAGTTGGTGTTGAATAGAAACTGAGTTGTATATCCCCCCCTTTGTTGCGTTGTAACTGTAGGTCAAGATCTTGCTGTTCTGCTTGAAGATACGAGGAAATTTCAGCTTCCGAAAGGTTCGGGTTTATGCGCAGGAAGGCGCGCGTCTGTCGCCACTCGGGACCAAGTCCAGCAAGAAGGACCGTAAGATACATCTCACGAGGGAAGTATCCACCACTCTTCTCCAGTTGATCTCGTAGTGTACGGACGCGATTGACGTAATCCATGACAGTCTCGTTTGTCATCATCTGCACATTTGTCAGCTGCGAAAGAATTTTACTCATAGTAATTGTATCTTACGCCATATACACCCCTTGTAAGTGTCTCCATGCAGTTTCAACTGGCGTAAAGCTGGAATGGAAATATCGAACGCCGAGCTACTCCTTTGGCAATAAGTTTCGAACAAGAATCGTATACTGTACGCCTTGAGAGAGGCGTGCAAGAAACTCTGGTCCTACTCCAACGAGTTTTGCCTTTACCACGGGAAGGGCGGTCTCTTCATCGGTCGTGCTCTCCTGAAGTCCGGCGTCGTCGTGTTAGACTTCGTCCCCGACCGCGGTACTGCCGACAGCGACGGAATCGTGTCGTTCGCCGCCTGGACACACCCGCCGGATCTTGACCCCGACTTTGACCCGGATGGATTCTGGCACTCCAACACCATACCTGCAGCAGAGAGAACACGAGCATTAGCAGTCATCAGACAAGAAAGACAAGTACCAGCAAGTGTCCCTTCCCAACCATCACCTGCCGTAGCCGCAGCAGAACAAAGAGTACCACCACCAGCGATCCGAGGACCACTAACCGAAGCAGATCAACTTATGCCCATCACACGAGAAGTCTGTCGAAGTCCCGCCACAGTCGTCGCGTTCTTCTCCAACACCGACATATACCACCGTTCGCCTGGCCATCGCGCTCCTGACGACATCTGGCACCAACGACTCGGGCACCCTGCAAACAGTACAATACTGCAAACCATCCAAGCCGAAGTGTTAGAACGCAACGCTCTCCTAACAACGAGCGGCCAAGAACTTCGACGACCACGCGCACGGTGCTTTACGTGCCCCGAAGCCGATCTTCCTCACCAACCTTTCCCATCTCATCACAACCCAAGCGCACCTGCATACGCACCGATGGAAAAAGTCTACAGCGACATTTTGAACATGCCTCGAGAAGACACTGAAGCCGACTTCAAATATGTCATCACGTTTATCGACGCAGCAACAAGATACGTCTGGCACTACAACCTCAAGACACGCGATCAAGCCTTCGACGCCTTCACGACATGGCTACCCATCGCCGAACGAGAATCAGGCACCAAGCTCAAGAGCTTCCAGTCAGACGGTGCACTGGAATACCAGTCACAACGCTTCAGGACCTATCTGGCGGAAAGAGGAATCAGACGCCTGGTGTCTCTGCCCTACGCTCACCAGCAGCAGGGGGTCGCAGAACGCATGAACCGGACCTTGCAGACGACGATGCGAAAGTTGCTCCTGGGGATGAGACTGCCCACCACACTGTGGCCAGACGCAATGACACATGCAGTCCACCTGCACAACCTGCTGTCCTCGTCATCGCTTCCCAACAACGCATCACCGCACCTGCTGTGGACACAAAAAAGGGGCAGCACAAAATTACTTCGGGTTCTCGGCTGCATGGTACAGTACAGACCTCACACAGCCCGAGCAGGACGCTTCACTCAACGAGCTCGGTGGGGACTACACCTCGGCATCGCAAAACATTTTCACGCAAGGAAAATCCTCAACATACAAGACAAAAATACAGTGGCATCACGTGATGTTATCTTCTACGAGCGACTGACGCTGCAGCATTACCTGGACAACATTGCCAACACACACGACCCCACCGACGGCTTCGCGGGCCTTCGTTCCTTCGCCGACCGTGCTGCCGATGCGGACGCAGCAGAAGAAGACGTACCTGGAGCCTCGGAAGCTGCCGGACCACTCCCTTTCTGTTCCGTACCTGTTCCACTCGACGAAGACAATCCTCTCAACAGTAACAACCTCGACACCTTTTACCACTTCGCTGACCAAGGTTACACTACACCCCACCCGGTCGAAAAAAATGTTTCAGAACGCATCGGCCCCAACTTCTTACCTGATCCAGAAGACGGTGACGAAGCAGCCTATTCCGTGAATGAAAATTCCCCTCGACACACACCCACGGGACTGCAGATCCTCGGCCTATGGGTCTCCGTCCAGCATCCACCGCCGCCATCTCCGCGCGAGCCCTCGACTCTGTCGCAGGCTCTGGGGGGGGAACACAAGACGAAATGGAAGGAGGCGATGGAAAGGGAACTAAAGGCTCTGCAAGACCGAAATACATGGAAGCTGGTACCTGCAACAAGCATCAACGGAAAGAACGTCATCTGGGGAAAATGGGTGTACCGCATCAAGACCAACGCGGACGGCTCCATCGAACGATTCAAAGCTCGATGGGTCGTACGAGGCTTCGATCAACGATACGGAACCGACTACACAGAAACTTTTGCCCCAGTCTCCCGTCACACCTCCCTGCGCATCCTACTCGCCGTCGCGGCCACGAAGAAACTACCACTGTGTCAAATCAACGTCGCAAACGCTTTCCTGTACGCACCTGTGGACGCCGAGATCTTCGTCGAGCAGCCCCTCGGATTCATCGACGACCCTACGAAAGTATGCCAGCTGATAAAATCCCTCTACGGGATCAAACAAGCTCCGCGGCTGTGGCAGCAGCATCTTCACGGCCGCCTCGTCAGAATCGGCTTCCTACATCTGCCGCACGACCAAGGCATGTATCGACTTCAGAAAGAAAAAGCCTTTCTCCTTCTCATCGTCTACGTCGACGACCTGCTCTACATCGGCTCCTCTACCGACATCGCCATCTGGTTTGAAGGGGAGCTGAGAAGTGACCTGACACTCACAGTGTCAGACACAGTGACCCAGTACCTGGGACTGAATGTCGCCGAAGACAACTCGGCATTTTACCTACACGCTGGAAAGTACGCAGGCACTGTCGCGAAGAAATTCGGTCTAACGCCGACTACGGTTCCGACTCCCTACCGCTACGGGAACAACAACAGCACCTCCGCAAAACTCCCCGCGAAGCAAATCCAGGAGTATCAGCAGAAGCTCGGCTGCCTACTATTCGCAGCAGTAACCTGCCGACCCGATCTCTCTTACAGCGCGAGCCAACTGGCGACGCATCTGAAGCATCCGGAACAAGAGGATCTCGAGGAACTTAATCGGGCACTACACTACTTCGTCTCCACGCCGACGACCGGGCTCACCTACAGCAAAGTAACGACACCGTCCATACGACTACTCGGATACGTCGACGCCGACCACGCGGGAGACAAGGAAAATCGACGATCGAGAACGGGCTACATCTACCGACTAGAACCTATCGGGACTATCTCCTGGCAGTCGAGCAAGCAGGAACTAATCGCACTATCCTCGGCTGAAGCATAATATATCGCCCTCTGTACTGCGACCAAGGAAGGACTCTACCTACGAGAGCTGCTAGAGGAAGCGAAGATTGCGACCCTGCCCGTCTTCTCACTCCTCTGCGACAACCAATCTGCGATCAAAATCGCGAACAATGACGGCTTCGCCAACCGAACCAAACACATCGCCCTGCGGTACTTCTTCGTCAAGGATGAAATCGCGAAGGGGAGACTTCAACTCAGTTACTGTCCTACAACAGAAATGGCCGCAGACTACGTGACGAAGAAACTGGCGAAGGCGAAGTTCGATTACTGCATGCTGCTGACCGGGCAGACAAATGTCACCGGATCTGAACACGTCAGCACTCCAGAAACGAAGGGGAGTGTTGGAAATATCTCAAAGGACTTAAGCGTTTCTGAAGTGTAACACTGCACTCGAGGAAGATCACAACGGGTACGTGAGTCAACGGAGGTTACGAGGGGGCGGACAAAGAACGCGAAGGGACTCGAAGGGTCGCAACTGGAGGTTGCGACTGACCGTTACAACAGCACGGATGGTAACCGAAGCGACAATCGAGTCGCTGTGCGACTCGATAACCGCTCCTGCAACTGTATTCTACAACTGCTTTACTTTCCTATTTTCTATATATTGCTATATGCTTGTTTCTTTAATCAATCACTTGTTCTCATATACTAGTACAAGGGTTCAACTACTCAACTTCCGCTGCACTACTCAAGTCTTTTACAACTGGGACTTAGTCTCTGGAAAGATCCCAAGGGCTTTTCTCAGCCCAACAGAGTGCTGCAGGCCTCGTCCTTACTGCCTCCAATCAGTGGGCGACAGCGGAGGTTTGTTTTGGCGGGAGAGCGCGAGAGTCCAGAAAGAACGATTTGGTTTTCGAGGTTTCGACATTTTTTTTTATCCGTTTCGACACATTCGGGTTGACCACCAGCTCGTTTCCCCCATTCGCCCTCACTTTTACGCACGCAACTATGCACGGCAAATTCTGTTGTTCCCTGTCGAAATAATGATTCTAAGTGGCGGTTGGTGTTCAATTGTTTTCAAGCCCAAAAGTAGGGTGGTAACTAGATCCAGTTTAATTAAACACCCATACCCGCTCAAGCCACCCATGGGAGCTTAATTCCGGCGGGTACTGTATCCGGGAGAATACGGTACTTAACCACGGATCTTTGCTGGAATGGTAGACTTGTAAGATAGCGGAAGTCTTATCACAGTTGTTGCAGGAAACTATGCGTTGAGTCAGCAAACATAAACATTTGGAAAACCTCAAGTGTTAGCCTAGGATGTTTGCTGGAATGGTAGACTAGTAAGATAGGAGAAGTCTAGTAAAAGTGAATCTAAGTAGAACTCTTGTAAAAGTCTGTTGATAATAGAAAGGCATTACAAGGATTTTATAGCTTTAGGAAAAGTACCTGTTCGGCTAGCTGGGCGCTATGCGACCTATTCGTCATACTATAGAGTCGCGACTGTTCGCGTGACTGAAACGACTCGTTACGCCTAATCGTTTAACTGAAGCGGTGTGCTGACGTCATCCAGAGAACCACGATGTTTTGATGACGTCAGCACTCGGGCATGGTTGCTTACTGAGAAACTCGATACCGCTAGCTACATTGAAACACTACTTGCAGGAATGCAAAACTTCATATATCACAACATTAACAAGCCCTTTTAACTCAGTGGTTAGTGGCAAAAACACCAACTGCTGTCAACAGATGGCCAGCCAGCAGTTTTTCAGCAAACGCATCCCACAGGATTTGAATTCGTGTCAGGTCTGGCACGTGCTGCAATATTGTCCAACAAAAGGATGCAAAGCACACACAAAAGAGGAACCTTAACACATAAATAAGTCCACTGCGCATTCTCGTCTATCTCATGCCGAAGCACTGCACATGAAACGCGTCCGGGCAGTGGGGAGCCAAACACCGCCACGACAGCCCCGAGCCGTACGACCGGCACGCAGAGCACGTGAACCCCTGCGGCTGCTGCATGAGCTTCACCCTGTGATTGGTCCACCTGTCCACGGCCTCCACTGCAGCCACGGAGGCTTCCAGCGCACGTGTGTCGTTCATTAGCTTGTCCACCTGCTGCTGCAGCCGGTTGGTGGCATCCGTCCATGCAGCCTGCGTGAGCGGGGGGGGGGGGGAAGGGGGGGGGGTGTGGGTGGGGGTGATGGGAGGGGAAGGGTGTAGAGGGAGGATTGATCCGACTAAGAGATGCTCATGAGCTTGTGCATCTGCTGCTGCAGCCGGTTGGTTGCATCCGTCCATGTGGCCTGCACCCACATGGGGTGGAAACGTGGGGGCGGGAAAGCGGGAAGGTGCACGGGTGGTGTGTAGAGACTTAAAGCCGGCCACGAGCTTGAACAACTGCTGCTGCAGCTGGTTGATAGCGTCCGTCCTTGGGCCTCCATGCATGTGAAATGCAAGCGGCGGGGGCATAGGGAGGGATAGGGTGTGGGGGTAAGGTAATGATGCGTGTTGCATGGGGGGGAGGGGGGAGGTGGAGGAGACGGAGAACTGTTGGGGAGGCCCAGAAAGGAGCAGGCAGAAAAGTAAATCGAAGAGGGAATGGAGGCTGGTAGCTAGCTGTAGACTGTAGTGAGCTACTGGAATCTGGAGTCTCTCTTTTCCCCCCCTTTCTTCTCTCCCTCTCTCTCTTCCCCTCTCTCGCACCCCCTCCTCCACTGGGCCACTTCACTGCCCCCTATACGTCCTCCCCCTCTCCTGCCCAAGGCTTGTTCGTACCACGTCCGTTGCGATACGGGATTGCAGCTGCTGCTGCTGAGCCACTGCTGCTCGCGCCTGAAGCAAAGGGCGGAGAGGGAGAACGGAAAAAGCACATGCAGCGAGGGAGGGTGGGAGAAAAGGTGGCAGGGAGGGAGAGGGAGGAACAGGCGGGGGAGGGGGGAAGGGGAAAACGGGGAGAGGGAAGTGAGCGAGGGGGAGGAAGTGAGGGGGATAGAGAGGCCAAGTGAGGACGAGAGTGGGGGCGGCATTACTGGGAATCGAGAAGACCAAGAGGAAAATCGGCATCACATCCCTGCTAGGTGAGGCTAGCTCAATTCTAGCTCCATGATTTCGAATCAGCTGGAATTTCATGCCTGGTTCCAGCTCAAACCACCTAGCTCCATCGATGCGCTACCCGCTGCCAAGCACACCATGCTCTTTCCTATCTGGGCTGCTTCTTGCTGCTTCTTGCTGCTTTGTGCTGCTTCTTGCAGCCTCTCCATGCCCCCCACTGCAGCCAGGCCCACTCCACTGTTCAGGCACAAGGAGTCACTCCACCTTTGAGGCGCCTAAAACATAAACCTCCCTATCTGGACTGCTTCTTGCTGCTTCTTGATGCTTCTTGCTGCCTCTCTCTCCATGCCCCCCACTGCAGCCGGGCCCACTGTTCGGGCATGCGTGACGCGACGCGCCTCGAAGAATATCCTTGCGGGCTGCTGCCTGCACTCACCTTGTTCTTCGTGTGTAATGAGTCGATTTTTGAGTCGACTCATTACACATGCACTCACCTTGTTCTTCTCTGCTTCTGCTGCCTCTTGCAGCCTCTTCACCTCCTCCGCCGCCCTCTGGTGCTTCTCCTGGACTGCTGCCTGATTCAGGACAACGGGGAGTAGTGGGGAGAGGATGAGGGGGTAGAGAAAGGAGCACCGCTGCATCGACATGATTGCCTCTTCACCTCGTCCACCACCCTTTGGTGCTTCTCCTGCACTGCTGCCTGATTCGGAGGCAGCAAGGTGGGGCGGGGAGAGGAAGAGGGGGAATTGAAAGGAGCATCGACATGGTTGCCTCTTCACCTCGTCCACCATCCTCTGGTGCTTCTCCTGCACTCCTGCCTGCAGTGGGTGCAGGCAGGGAGGGGGAAGTGGGGGGGAAAAGGGGGGGGGATGGGGAGGGGAAGGGGAGTGAAAGGGGAGGGTGAAGTGGAGGGGAAGGGGACGGGAAGGGGAGGGGAAGGGGAGGGTGAAGTGGGTGTTGAGAAGTACAGACCAGGGAGCCTCGACAATAGGCATCTCCTCCACTCCACTACCCTCTCACGTTTCTCCTGCACTGCCTGCCTGTGCGGATAAGCAAAACGGGAGGGTTCAAATTTAATCACAGGCGTGGGAAACGATTGAATCTGAGCCCAGGCACTGATGCACATGTTCGAAGGAATTTGAATTCAATGTGGATTCATACATACACATGCACTGATGCACACGTTCGATCAACTTGCGGTTCGCATATGACATGACGACCCCCACCAGCTACATCAAGGTTCCGATATGCAGGTTCAACTTGAGTAGGTAGGGTGAGAGCCTTACCAGCTGCGCCTTGGTCTCAGCCACCCTCCTGTCCGCCTCGCTGCTGCTGCTCTGCCTCGACGCCAGTGCCGCTTGAGCAGCCCTCTGCGGGATAGAGCACAGGGGGAAGAACAAGCGATGGGAGGGAAGGGGGAAAGGAGAGTGAGTGTATGTATGTATGTAGGTATGTATGTATGTATGTATGTGTGTGTGTGTGTGTGTGTGTGTGTGTGTGTGTGTGTGTGTGTGTGTGGTACGTATGGTACGTATGCATGTATGTATGTGTGCACGATGTATGAATGTACATATGTGAGTATATACATATGCGTGTGTGCGCATGGATGCATGCTCGCATGCATGCACGTACCGCCAGTTGTGTGCGCAGTTGAGCGATCTCTTCCTGTCCCTTGGCGACTTGGGCCTTGGAGGACGAAGCGGTCTGATGGGAGGGGCAAATACCGGCAAGGAAAGATTAACGAAAGATTGGGGCAAAGGATGCTGGTTTTTAGGCGCCTCAAAACCGACTCCTCATGAATACCGGCAAGAGAAGATTGGGGAAATGGATAAACCAAGCAACTTTTGAGTCTACTCAAAAGTCTCCTCATGGATACCGGCAAGAGAAGATTGGGGAAATGGATAAACCGAGCAACGGAAGGAGCAGAAGCGGACGGTAGAGAAGAAGCAAGACTGGGGCTCGCCATGCCAGGTGTTAAAGAATTCGAGGTACAAGTAATCAGGGATGGGTGAGAAGAACAAGCAAAAAGGAAGACCTGGTACTTCACCTTCCCCCCTGCACCCTCCTCTTCCCCCCCACGCACCTCACCAGCGAAGCTCTGCAGCTTGTGTTTGTTGCCCTGCTGCTCTGCCACCTTCCTCTCTAGCTCCGCCTTCTGGTGCTCCGCCGCCTTCCTCTCCAGCTCCGCCTTCTGCTGCTCCACCGGCTGCCACTCCCCACCTTCGCCCCCCCCCAATACCCCCAACACCCCCCCCACCCCCCCCCACCCCCCCCCCACCCCCACCCCGCCCCCCAACGCACCTCAGCAGCAAAGCTCTGCAGCTTGTGTATGTTGCCCTGCTGCTCTGCCACCTTCCTCTCCAGTTCCGCCCGCTGCTGCTCCGCCTGCTGCCGCTCCTCCTGCAGAGACGCCACCTTCACTGCCAGGCACTCCGCCTTGTCCTGAGCCTGTTTGACAGACACAAACGAGGGGGGGGGGGGGTGGTGGGGGTGGTATTTTTTAGGCGCCCAAAAGTTCTGCTCCGCCTGCTGCCGATCCTCCTGCACGGAAGCTACCTTCACCGCCAGGCACTCCGCCTTGTCGTCCGCCTGTGCGTGGTGGCAGCGGCAGGAGAGGTGGACGCATGAGTGAGTGGAACGGAATATTCCATGGGTCAATGCCACCTTCACTGCCAGACACTCCGCCTTGTCCTGCGCATGTGCAAGTTTTCAGCGGCAAGGGGTGGGGAGGGGATGTGGGGATGTGGGAGGGAGGGGAGACGGACACACATGTGTGCTTTCTTTCCTGAGTCAAAGGCTCCTTACCGCCAGGCACTCCTCCGCCTTGTCCTGCGCCTGTGCGTGGTGGCAGCACATAATATCAGCAGCAGGGGAAGGGCACAACATACAGACAGTTTGGAAAATAAACAAAGCCAAAACCCTCTGAAAGGCAGAGCAATCTCTCGCAGGGACGCCACCAGGCCCTCCGCCTTGTCCTGCAACTGTGCATGATTGGTGGGAAGGTCTTTTCATTGGTCAAAGCCACCTTCACTGCCAGGGGCCCCACCTGCTTCACGTGCATGGGGGCAGCGGCAGGTGGGGGGACAAATGGTACATGGCGCCAGCGCATGGTGATAGCACATGGTGACAGCAGCAGGGAACGGACACAGGAGCAGCAGGGACAGAGCGGCAACCGAGCTGCCAGGTTGCTTAGATGTTGCCTGTGTGTATGTGTTTTGAATGAGTTTTTAGGCACCTCTCTCTCTACATTGATTGACTGTTGTTGTTTTCTATCCTGATTTTGAAAATTCTATTGAGCACGCGATACATCGAACAGATAAGATGGATCCAAGCAGCCGCTAGATTTGCCTCTAGGTAATAAGCATCTTCTGCTGCTGCAGCATCCCTAAGATTCGTCCAGAACCACTTCACTTCACTTCAAGCCTCTTCAGCTCCCCCGTTCCTTTCGTTCCCAACGATTTTTTTAGTCCACTCGAAACATCCCTCTGCCTGTGCAGCGTCCCTAAGGTTCACCTAAAACCACGTCACTTCACCACGGCTGTCAGCTCGTCCTCCTTTCCTTTCCAGCCCTCCAGTTTTGAGGCGCCTCAAAACTAGACTCCTATCACGCGGATTTTGAGGCGCCTCAAAACTAGACTCCTATCACGCGGATTTTGAGGCGCCTCAAAACTTCACCACGGCTGCTCAGCTCGACCTCCTTTCCTTTCCAGGCCTCCCCAGCCCCACTGCCATCTCACCTGCTGCCGCAGCTGCTGCTCCTGCTGCAGCACCTCCTTAGCAACGCTCCCACTCTGTGCCTGCAACATCGTCAGTAGTATCATATCATCATGAGTATCATCATCAGTATCATCAGACACAGAGGGGTATGGGTCGAGCAGCTTAGGGGGAACAGGCCGGGAAAGCTTTGAGGCTGTCTCGAAACACCTGCTGCCGCACCTCCTGCTCCTTCTGCAGCACCCCCTTGGCTACACTCCGATGCACTTACAACAACATGACATCCATCAGACACATTTTCGCATGGGTGGAATCGGGTAGGAGGGGCCAGCTGAGCGCTTTCCGCAGGCAACCGAGAGGAAAGAAAATTCACAGCCAAACATGGAGCCACACCACATGGAGGAAAGCATGCATCCGATGCTGCAGGTCCGGACATCTGAACCGAAACTTTCAACAACAAACTTCCGAACTTGGGATTTAGGAACCCAAGGACGTTGGGGGGAAGCCAACTGCGTCATGCATGCATGCATGTATGCATGCATCCAATACCTGCTTTCTGGGGTGCATGGCACAACCATAGGAGGAGAGCCGTCCCATCTCCCATTCCCATCTCCCGTTACCACAACCCCTCCCTCCCTCCTCCAACCCCACCCATCCCTCCCTCCCTCCCTTCACCCCCAAAACCTCACCCAAAGGGCACCCTTCTTTTCAGTATCCAGTTCAGTCCGCAGCGCCCGCGCCCTGCCCCTCCACTCTAGTTCTGACTCGATTCAAAAGTCACCTCTACAAAACCTCAACACCCATCCCATCCCATCCCATCCCATCCCTCCCTCCCTCCCTCCCTTCACCCCGAAACCCTCACCGCCTGTGCAGCCTTCTTGGCAGCATCCACCTCAGCCTGAAGCGCCCGTGCCCTGCCCCTCCACTCCTCCACCTCCACCCTCATCCCCTCCAGCTGCCCCCGTAGCTTCTCCGCCTCCTCCTCCCCCTCAACCGCCACCTCCACCAACCCCCGCTCCTTCTCCTCCCATTCCGCCTCCCTCCTCCTCCACTCCTCCTCCTTCCTCCTCCACTCCTGCTGCTCTCTCTCCCTCCCAAACGACGGTACCTTACTCATCAGAGCAGCCTTCTCCTTCTCCCTCTCCTCCTTCTCCTGCTCTCGCTCAACCGCCATCCTCTCCATCTCTTTCCTGACTCCCTCGGCTTCCACTCGTGCCCTCCGCACCTCCACTTCCTTCTCTAGCATCTCCTGCTCCCGCGCTGCCTCCTTCTCTTTCCATTCCTCTGCCTGCTGCTGCGCCTGCTGCTGCAGGTTCTGCAGCTGCTTCAACTGCTCCAGGGCTTGCTGCAGCTGCTGCTCGCTCCCCTTGCTGCTGGCGGCGGCTGCTGCTGCTGCTGCGGCTGCTTTCTCCTCTGTGGATCTCAGTGTCTGTATTTCCTGCTGAACCTGGGGGGCGCAAAGAGCAAGACAAAAAAACAGGAATAAGTGCCATGAAACCAGAAGCGCCCAGAGCCATGAATCTGTACAAAGCTAAAACTCATGGAGCAAGGCCAAACTGATACAGTGCTGACTTTTGAGTCGAGTCAAAATTCAACTCATGGAGCAAGGCCAAAAGTCAACTCATGCATACAATGCATCAGCCAAGAGTGAGGGAGGGAATGCGGCAGTAAAGGGCGAGGAGAGGGGAAGACGGTGGAAAGTGAAGGACGGAGGTGGAAAGAAGCAGTGGAATGGCAACGGAGCAGAGGGATGGCAACATGCAACGGAGGTGCTACACATGTGCTGCTGCTGCTGCTGCTGCTGCTGCTGCTGCTGCTGCTGACCTTGTTGAAAGATTCCTCCCACTTGGCGCTTGCTGCCTTGTGCGCCTCTGCCTCTGCCTTCCACTGCTCCACCTGCTTCGTCAGAGCTGCCAGGGTGTCCTGCCACATGCAGAGAAGAGAGATGGTGCATGCAGAGCAGAGAGATGGCACATGCAGAGCAGAGGCACATGCAGAGCAGAGAGATGGCGCATGCAGAACAGAGAGATGGCGCATGCAGAGCAGAGAGATGGCGCATGCAGAGCAGAGAGATGGCGCATGCAGAGCAGAGAGATGGCACATGCAGAGAGATGGTGCACGCAGAGCAGAGAGATGGCACATGCAGAGAGATGGTGCACGCAGAGCAGAGAGATGGCGCATGCAGAGAGATGGTACACGCAGGCAGCCGGAGAAAGATCCGTTGAAAGTGAGGAATATGCCATCGCTGGCAAGTCATGTCAGTACTAACCATCTCTCACGCATGCCAACATGTGATGTGCAGTCAAGCCAGCCAGCCAGCCAGCCAGCCAGCCAGCCAGCCAGCCAGCAAGCTGATCCATCCCCCACCAACCACCTACCCACCCACCCACCCCATAGCCGCACAGTGCACTGCACTGCCTCCTCCAGTTCCTTCCACCTTACCTTCTCCCTCGCAACCGCTTGGCTCGAAACAACCCGCTGCCCTTCCTCCTCCTGCTCCTTCCGCCTCGCCCTCTCCTCCCTCTCCGCCACCCGCTCCTCCCTCGCACTCACCCTCTCCTCCCTCTCCATCACTCTCTCCTCCCTCACGAATAGCCTCTCCTCTCTCTCCAGCACCCTCCTCTCCAACCCCCTATACTCCTCCTCTCTTATCCCCCCCACACTCTCCTTCTTCCTCCCTTCTAACTCCATCTCAGTCATCCTCCCCTGCACTTCCTCCAGTTTGCCTCCCAGACTCACTATCCTCCCCCCCTGCTCCTCAATCGTTCTCTCCTTCTCACTTAAAGCCTCCTCCTGGGCTTTAATCCGCGCTTCCTGGGAGTCAATAGTCTCTTCTAGCTCGTCTATAATATCCTGCTGCTTCCCGATCCTGCTTTCTTGCTCCTCAATCCTCCCCTCCTGCTCTCGAATCCTCCCCTCCTGCTCCTTCGCCTTCCTCTCTTGCTCTTCCCTCACCCTCTCTTCGTCCTTCAACCCTTTCTCCTGCTGCAACACCCACTCCTCCGCCTCCTTCCCCCTCCTCTCCTCTATCTCTGCCAACCTCCCCTCCAGCACTTTAACCTTCTCGTCGAGCTCCCTCACATGTCTCTCCTTCTCCCTCATCGCCTCTTCCATCGCCTTAATCTGCTTCCTGTGCTCCTCCTTCGTTCTCTCCCCCTCCAGACCACCAGAACCACCAGAGGCTAGTTTCGCCACCGCTGCTGCTGCAGCGGCTTCCTGATGCTGCTTTGCGTCGGCCAGCAGGGCTTGCTGCGCGGCCTAGGGTGGTGGAGTGGAGGTAGGGCAAGCGGGGGGATGCAGAGAAAAGGAGTCTGATTAAGAGGCGCCTCAGATAGACGCCACCACTGTTGCTGCTGCTGTGGCTTCCTGGTGCTGCTTTGCGTCAGCCAGCAGGGCTTGCTGTGCGGCCTAGGGGAGTGGAGGTAAGGCAAGTGGGGGGGATGCAGAAGAAAGAATGCTTTTGGGCTCTACCTGTCTGTTGCCAGCACAGCGCCAACGTGTATGTGCATATGTATGTGTACGTGCATGTGCACAATGGGTGGGTGTGCATGAGTGGGATGTGGACACAAGGATGTGGACACATGGACAGACAGAGTCACACGCACACACACACACACACACACACACACACACACACACACACACACACACACACACACACACACACACACACACGTACACACACACGTACACACACACGTACACACACACACACACACACACACACACACACACACACACACACACACACACACACACACACACACACACGCGCGTGACGTGAGCGAGCATGCAGATGAACGAGCGAGCATGCAGATGAGCGGGCAAGCATGCAGATGGGCGAGCAGCCATATCGTGAGACTCTCTCATGGTGAGAGTAGTATCTTATCTCCATCTGAGCAGCAGCACGTTATTCCACTGCCTGCCATGTAAAGTCATGTCACCCAAGTGGTGTTCTCTCTCACACGGTGAGAGTAATATCTTATCTTTATCTGAGCAGCAGTGCAATGCAAGCAAGCCTGCGAGTTTCCATTTGCATCATGAGAGATTGACGTCGCATGCAGCACTTGCGTTTGAAGCAGCACTTGTGTTTGAAGCAGCACTTGGGGGCACTTCACCCCGACACCCACCTCATCCCACCTCACCCCACCTCACCCCACCTCACACCACCTCACCCAACCCCAACCCCACCCCCATACACACCCCACTCACCAGTTGCTGCCTGAGCTGGTTGCGCTCCTGAAACAGCCTCTTGCACTCCAGCGATGCCTGGGGTCACGTCACACACACAGCATAAGCACACAGCAGGCATGCACAATCCCCCCAGTGGACGCACGCACACACGCACGCACGTACGTGCACAAAGACAAGGGGGCGATTGGGGTGGAGGAGGGAGGTGGGGAGGGAGGAGCGGGCGAGAAGGGAAGGGGGGAGGGAGGGGAGGGAGGAGGGGGGGAAGAAGCTTGCTGATGGGGAGATGGAAAAAAAGGCAGGCAGGAAGAGGGGGGTAGGGCAGCAGCATGACAAGAGCACAGGGCAGATATGAAGCGGGAGGAGAACCCAGTCATCACAGTCATCTGCCTATCCGAGGCACATTAATTCTCAAATAACACACCTGCAAAGACAAGCCCACCACGCACAGCACAGCACACCACCCACTTACATGCCCCCACACCATTACCCCCACAAGCCTCCCCCACACACCGCCTCCATATCACCCCCCACACCACCGCCATAACACCCCCACACCACCGCCATACCACTCCCCACACCGCCCCCATACCACTCCCCACACCGCCCCCATACCACTCCCCACACCGCCCCCATACCACTCCCCACACCGCCCCCATACCACTCCCCACACCGCCCCCATACCACTCCCCACACCGCCCCCATACCACCCCCCACACCGCCCCCATACCACTCCCCACACCGCCACCATACCACTCCCCACACTGCCCCCATACCACTCCCCACACCCCCCCATATCACCCTCCACACCGCCCGCCAGCACCCCTCACCAACCCCCCCCCTCCTTCTTACATCCGAGGCTCGCTCCTCCACCGCCTCAAGCCTTTCCTTCAGCTCCCGCCCGCAGCTCCCTCTTCCTGTCCTTGCCGCTCCCATTCCCCCCCCCCCCCTTTCCCCCCTGCGCCAGCATCAGACAAGCCCGCCACACAGCACAGCACAGCACCCACTAACATCTTCCCCCCCTCTCTTACATCCGAGGCTCGCTCCTCCGCCGCCTCGAGCCGCTCCTTCAGCTCGCGCAGCTCCTTGCCGTTCCCCTCCCCACCAGCATCCCCCCCGATGGTGCCTGGGTCAGAGCGCGCGCTGGCAGACAGGGAGGGGGACGCGAATGCTGCGCCCACCCTTTCCAGCGACCGCCGTCGCTCCTTCTCGCCCTGAATGGTGGGTGGGCGTGGGTGGGCGTGGGTGGGCGTGGTTGGGTGTGGGTGGGTGTCGGTGGGCGTGGGTGGGCGTGGGTAGTTGTGGGTGGGCGTGGGTGGGTGTGGGTGGGCGTGGGCGGGTGTGGGTGGGTGTGGGAGGGTGTGGGTGGGTGGGATGGAGGCAGAGGCAGATTGGGAGGAGATTTTGACTCAACTGAGAAGAGAGGGTGTCCACCCTCCCTCGTGCCTCAACACGGGGGCTGGGTTCTGTGGATGGGTGGGGTTGAGTGAGAGAGATTCTTGGGAAACAAAGACATTCTGAAATAAGGGCCTCTTTTCATCCCTCACCCTCCTCCAATTCTACTCACCCTCCTCGTCCCTCGCATCCCACTCCTTCCCACCGAACTATATGCATTCGTCCGTGCTCTGCTCTTTCTCACGGGCCACGGCACTTACACCGATTGCTCTCTCCTCAGCAGCGGCCAGCCTTCCTCTCAGCGCACCCAGGTCAAGCGCTCCCCTCTGCGGCTGCTGCTGTGGTTGCTGCAGTGGCGACCGCGGCTGATCAGGAGACTGCACATGCCTCTGTTGAACCGACAGCTGGTTCAGCTGCTGCTCTAGCTCCTGGTGAATCTGGGCTGGCTTCTGCACCTGCACCTGCTGCTGCTGCTGCGGGTGCGGGTGCGCCTGCGCCTGCTGCTGCTGCTGGCGCAACAGCTCCTGCACCGCCTGCTGCTGCTTCGCCGCGGCCAGCTGCGCCCGTCCCGCGGACACAGGCGGGGACGGCGTTCCGCCACCAGGGCGGAACACCTTCGCTGCTACAGCCGCCGCCGCAGCTGCAGCCGCTGCCTCCGCATCAGCTCCAGCAGCCGCGGGGGGCGCGGGGTTGGCTGGGGAAACGGGGAAGACGCGCGGAGGGGCGTAAGGGTGGGGGCGCTGGTCGGGGGAGGGGGCGCCGGGAGGAGGGCGGAGCGGAGGATGGTTGGGGGATGCTGTTCCGCCTGCTGCTGCGGCGGCTGCGACGGCTGACGCGGCTGCTAGCGCTGAGTCGAGCCCCCCGCTTCCCCCGCGTGGCCCCATGCCGCCGGGTAGCATGGGATGGATGATAGGGTCGTTGGGGTGCTTCCGAAACGACTGGGGGGACGCGGACGCGGGATGGGAATGAAAGGATGCAAGAGGGAGGGAGAGGGGGGTGGGCGGGGAGGAGGGGGAGGGGAGGGGGGGGGGGGGGGTGAGGGAAGGAGGGGAAGGGGTTGGATGAGGACGCAAGAGAATAGAGAGAGAGAGAAAGGATGAAGAGGATAAAGGACGAAGCATTATGAGATAAAGTGACGAGCAGAGGGTAATCCAAAACTACTGTAGGGTAGAAGGCGGAATCGAGAATAGGGAAGAAACCAGAGGTAACGCCTGTTAATATCACAGCTTTTTCGCCGACTGAAAGGCACTCCGACTGTCACCGCTGCCTGACCATGGTTTGCCGACCTCGTGTTCGCTCCAATAATTGCGTGATCGTCTCTCCGCGACTCCCGAGTTGTTAGCTCACGCCGTTTTTCTCTGCGTGATGTTATGGATGAGGAAAAGCGTGAAGAGGCGTCAGTACAAGACATGCAGCACGTACGGATGTTAAGGCTTGAAAATGCAGCTACTGGGTACTATAGAGCAGAAAAATTATGGCGTGGCATGGCGTTACTAACACCTCGGACGCACCTTCTTTCGCTGCAGAGTGCACTGCACAGTGTAAAGAAAAATACGAAGAATCAGAGCCGATCGACGCAATCGTAACCAATCTGGCTAATATCACGATTCCCTGCCTCGTCTTGGAAATGCAATTGGCTACTGCCGGCTAATATTAGACGTCTATGTCCAGCTTTTCTAGGCACCCGAAGATAATTGCTGAGTTCGCGCACTCTGCCGCGCAGCACAGCAGTCGGAAATGTGACAAGGCAGAGGGGAAGGGGAGGGGAGGGGATGTGAGGCTCTGGCTGACTGACCTGGGAAGACCTGACCTGAACCACCGCTCTGGTGACTGTACTGTCCTGTACAGTTCGTGTTGGGACAACCCCTCTCGTACGTACGCCAGCGGTTAGTTGGGACTTGGTTCGGGAGAATTCTGGGCGTGGAGCGTATGGTTCCGAATTGCCAGTTCGGGAACTCAGTTCCGAGAAACGGCGGTGTCCATTGGTTGTCTGTTGGCGAACAACACTGCGAACAGGCATGCGAACAGGCATGCGAACTGGCATGCTCATTGGTCCTCAACTCGGGCAGAACTGCGTTCCAGAACCATATGTTCCACTGGGTTGTGGGGCCACCAGTCTGGTTGGTTTGGGAAGCGAACGGACTGGTTTGGTCAACAACATCACGTCACATCTATCGAGCAGCAGAAGTACACATGGCTCGACGGACGTGAACAGATTCCCTGGTGGTGTGGCATCGGCTGTGGCGAGAAAACAGGCGAACAGACGAGCAGTACACCTTTTCCCCTCTATTGTTTCACCCGGAACAGTCTAAATTGCAATCTCATCTACCAGGTTCTCAGTATGACTCGCGTTGACACTGAACCTGATTGGCTGCAGTCTGAACGATAGCGAACTACCAAGTTTTATTTCGACAATTGCGAGTTTCAGAGCTGGGACTTCGCGCGGGCAACTAATCTAGTGCATGAGCGATATTTTGTAACCAAGTGTCATTGCTTACTGTGGGATTTCCCCTTCAAAGTCCCGTTTGCCCTTGTTTAACAATTTCCTGCTTACAGGCTCAAACCGTGTGCAAAAACCGTGGGATTAAATGAAAGAACAGGTGAGTCGATGACAGACACCAGCTTGGCTCACTCTTTCCCTGCGACCCGAGATCACCGTCCACACTAAGGGGCCTGTTCCGCACCGCGGTACTTAGGTAAGATAGGATTTGGTGAATACCGCATTCCAACGCTGCAAGTACTCGCGACACTAACCCCTCGGAAGTCTGTTTTTGTCAATAATGTGCGGGTCGTCTTTGCGTGCTGAAAATTAACCAGACCGAACGCTAATAATCGCGCCCGTATGGGTTCCGCGTGAATTTTTCACTGTTCTGCCGCCGTCCCACAGCTCATTGTTTGCACTGTTTGGTTCAAACCGAGCCTCCGTTTCTGATCAGCAAAGAAAGGGAAATGATAAAAAAGGGTCCTCCCTTCGCTAGAGGCCTGAGCAAAAAAGGTCCGGCAGCTTTTTGCCCCGAGACCTCGTCTCCGAAACTGTGATACACCTCATTCGTCATACAATACGCATACATCACAGGGTCACAAATTTGCAGGTTCATGGGGGCGCTTCGTGTTGTAACCCTATTATGGGACCTTTATACTGTACGAATTCAATGTACTGTACAAGGGCACCAAAAAAAAAAAAAAAAAAAAAAAAAAACTCATAGGGGCACCGCATGCGACTTGGGGTGGCATCAACCCTAAACTCGCAAAAGGGCCGCGTATTTAGGGTTGATGCCATCCGGAATGGAATTCGGTCCCCAACGGATTTTAGTATTTTTTGCCCGTTGAGAAATGTTGAATGGTACATCAAACGTCCCGTAAATGTTTAAAGTACTAAACAAAGAAGGACGTGTATTTCAAGTTCAGAGGCGAGGTCCCTGGAGCAGAAAATAGTCGGACCTTTTTTGCTCACGCCTCTGGCAAAGCGAGGACCATTTTTATCATTTCCCGCAAAGAAATAGGGGGTCTTCGCAGGCCTCTCGATCAGGGCTTACTTTAGGGTTTTCGTCCACACGGCAGATCCAAGTATCTCTCTCGCGGGACCCGGATAAAACAGGTTTATCTGGAACGTTACCCGTCAATGTCCGGGTTCAGTCACTGATTTTTTTCCGCGATGACAAACGCTCTTACGAAAAGTTTCTGGATTCTACAAAGGGAACCACGTAAGAGTACTGCGCTCAGCTCTTATACTTCTACTTCTTGAACTTCCTTGCTAGGGCTGATGTGCCATGGGGGGAGGGAATGGTGGGGGGATCTGTAAGGTGGTGTGAGAAGTTTTAGTATCCGTGTTTCTCAAAACCGAATACGTCACTTCATGTGTTATGGTCAAAATGTACCCGTCAAATCAGGATTCATGAAAATCGAACACGCCGCAATCCGATTTTTGTCGAAAACTCACCCGTTATTTGGTAAAAATCAGGGTAATTACTCGTAGAAAATAAGCCCTGCTCTCGATGTCCCCGAAGGGCCCCCTGCAGAATCCGAGTTAGTCGCGCAACCAACTCGTCCAAGCTGGGTAGCCAAAAAAATGTTGATTGTTTTTGCAAGGCAATTTCGGCGGTTTCCCGGCATGTGCAGGGTTTCGAGGTCGCGTTCACGTATTCGAAAAGCACAGGAAAACTTTTCCTTTCACCAATTTCATCTCCAAGTGCTCGGATGTTATTATGTGCTAATAAACCAAAAATCAAATCCCAAACGATTGACTACAAGTGCAACCGCCACTTCACCAATTTATTCCCTACTACAAAAAATACGCCCAACCCACAGGTACAAATGCCCCACTTATATGAAGCACAGAGGCGTAGTCCAGGAAAGCGCGTTTTCCACAACCAAACCTCTTTGGGGAAACGAGCTTGGCTAAGAGAGACTTGGTTGGGGGAACGAGTTTGGCTGAGAGAGGCTTCATTTGGGGGAACGAGTTTGGTAGAGAGGGGCTTGGTTGGGGGAAATGAGTTTTGTTCAAAGAGGCCTGGTTGGGGGAAATGAGTTTGGTTCAGAGAGGCTTGGTTGGGTGTAACAAGTTTGAGTTAGCGAGGCTTGTTTGGGGATGCTGCAACACCCGATCAGGGACTGGCGCGCTTGCCGAAAACCCAAACGGGCCACTTGGGATTTCAGGAGCGGTTTTGCCCGAATCCCTCCCTCAACGGAGAAGAGGGGTCTCTAGCTGGATAACCAGGCCTTACAGACGGATGCTACTGGGCGATACATTCCACTACTCGGAAATCGGACGTGGAATTTTGTTGCCTAGTCTGCTAGTGGACGTGTACTTCAAATCTGGATGCGTAGAAATCAAGGTAGTACACCAAACGTACCCTATTTTCTTTGAGTACGCATGGTAATTACCCGGACATCGAGAGGCCTGGGTCTTAGCATCTGCAGTCTAATCAGCAGGGAAAATATTTTCCTTTGCCGTCAAGCACTTATGAGTGCTGATTTGGGGGCATTTTATAGGTTTGGAACCAAAATGGCACATAGACGAAACCAGTCATCCCATACCGCCGCGAAACGAAACAATTTGCTTTAGCTATGGGCGCAAAATTAGGCTGCATGAGGCAAAACAAAATAAAACCCACAGGGGCCCGCATGCCGTTTCGGTTGGGTAAACCCTAAACTCGGTGATGGGTGTTTCGCGTGATGGTACATGGCTCGATGTCGAGGTTCGACTGCTTCGGTAAATTCACAACCTATCAAAACATGCCAACTCATCTGACGGCATAAGCAATTTTTCGCCCCACTAATTTGACTGCAAAGGCTAAAGCCCCAAGAAATAGCTGGTTCGGAAAGCCAGGCGGGAAAAAGCGAACACGCATCGCCACCAAACGTTCCACAAGTGAAGCGCCCGATACAGGAAACAAGTGCACCAAGCCTACAGTCACATTATTTGATCATAAGTCCTGCCCCCCTTGGAGAGTGTTCGTCATGTAAGCCCCTTTCTATTGTACACAACTTATCTGATTAATAACGAAACATCACATAGCTTTTGCCGAGTACGTTGTCCCCCTCCTTCCATGCACATGCGCGAGACTTTGCTCTCGACAGCCCTGAGCCGCTTTCTGTCACATGCGCACATAGGCCAATGGCGAGCAGGCAATTCAGGACCCTTGAATCTGCTGACTTCCAGTGCGTGCAGGGGCTGGTTTCCTATTGGCTCATTGATTCAGTAAACATGACAGCACCTTCGGCTGAAAACAGTGAACAGCACTTGCGGATTCCAGGGAAACCAGGTACAGGTCATATGCCTTGTAGACGACCCCCTTTTATGCCCAGGAGTATTCCATAGGCATTTTTATCCTTAAGGGCCACTCCTTGTACGCAAAGTGTACCCATCTCAACTGAACAGTAAATTAGACAGTCAATTCGGCTGATCCAAGGCCGTCCAATCAGTTTGCTCTTGTGTTTTCAGAGCGACCACACCTAGTGGTCGGGGAGCCTCTAAAAATCCCGATGTATCAGGCTCGCCAACTAATGTCGAGGCAAAAATCCACCTGATGCGCTAGATACGACCAGCTCGCTGACGGTCCAGTAGAATTACGCCTGCAACGCCAACGGAATCCGTTGGCGTTGCCCCAGGAAAATACGAATAGGAACGCGCCAAGGAATCTGACATTATCTTGAAGTGCGGAGTTGATACACAGGTGGAGAGGCTTGCGACGTGGCAATGTTTACACAGTCGCTACATACGCCAGTCAAGCCGTCCATGCACGGTACACAAAAAACAACGCCCCATTTCCTGGGGAAACCCCATAGTCCATGTTGCCCCTACCGTACAACCAGTATTCGTTAAAAGGGAAATCTCCCGCGTCACCCCCCGGGTGCTCAGGGAATATGACCTGCACAAGTCATATGCGAGAGACTCCCAAAACGTGGCTTGTAAAAATGGCGTACACGGCATAATGGCGGTACGCTACGGGCAAACGGGACTACACCAGAAACCTCGTTAGAATCAATCGTGATTGTCAGGCTGGTTGCGTTTGCTTTTTTCGGAATGTAATTGTACGTGACCGCCCGGGGAACCGACCGCCAGGAGTATTTCACGAGCCCCAGAAGAAGTAGGGGTGTATTCTGGAGTGACGGGAGTTTGGTCCCACGTGGAGGGGAACCAGTGATGAGTTAAAAATACAAAAAAAATACAGCGGAAGGGATCGCAACAGCCCGAAAAGCCCGCGCACTGTAGCGAACCGTCAACGCTCGACATAATGAAACATAATGTTCTGAATGGAGGATTCACGTGACAAGGAGCTTCTGGAATCAGCAGCTCAACCCGTTATGGTCTGTGGTTTTTCCCACACTATGCCATATTTGGTCCAGGGCAATGTGAATTTCCATTTCACAATGTGATAAGAAGCCGATCTTGGCCATGACTGTATCCGTTTTTTTATGCTTCATGATTTAAGACAAACGAGATTTAGGGTGTATGGAGTCTCCAGAGTTATTGGAGCTTTGGTTGATATGTACTGTTCATGGTCGGCTGCGTTGGCGTATGCTACGAGCATCCGTCGCCTGCCATGTCGCACGCGTGCCAACCATAGTTTCAACACGAGGTTGCATGTTCTTATAATAAATAACGCAATAGACGAAGAATAGGGTC